GTTGGAAAGAAAAAAAAAAAAAAAACAGCCCCATGGTTGGGCCATGGCCGAGATGTCGCAGCTACACCCCAGACTGGCCACGGCCGAGATGTGTCGGCCACACCCCAGACTGGCCACAACCGAGATGTCTCTCAAACCCCAGATTGGGCACGGCCGAGATGTGTCGGCCACAGCCGAGATTGGCAGGCACTACCCCTCATAGGCAAACGTGAAATCTCAAAAGTACACTACTCCGAAGAAGTGGGGGGCTCGGGGCAGGGATGGAGGCAAAAAAAAAAAAAAGGAAAAGAAGAAATAAAAAAAGTAAAGAAAAGAGGAATTTTGAACCTACCTACATGGTAAGGCCCTCAGGTCACCAGTGCTTTGAGGAATGTATCTGGCCAGGAAGTGAGGAACATGAAAGAATGAGTTTTCGTTTTTTGTTTCTTGTTGTGAGGTCCCTGTAGCGCCCTGCCAGCCAGGCAGGGCGGCTTCCACGCTTCATTGAGTCACAGCCTAAGGGATGTTTTTTCTTTTTTTCTGTTTATCTGCTGTTTGTGGATAGACGAGGGCCGTAACTGAACTGCACATGCGAGTTTCAACTGCAATTGAAACTCAGACCCTGACTAAACTGCAATTGAAACTCGGACCCTGACTAAACTGCTAAAACGCAGTTTCAAATGCAATTACAAACTGTAACCCTGACTGCGCTGAGTTTTCTCTTTTGTGTTTGTGCGCTGCCGAGATTACCTATCGGGCGATTCCTTTTTGTTATCAGGTGACCCCTCTCTGGATTGAAGGGGGGTTTAATTCTGTAGAATGTCACGTTGAAATTCAGGGGCTTTTAGTCCTATAGAACGTTGAGATTTAGGGGTTGTTGGTCCTATAGAACGTCGAGATTTAGGGTAACCTAGCTAGCCCTATAGTCTATAGAATGCCGACATTCAGGGTTATTTAGCCCTATAGCAGATTGAGATTAAGAGGCTTTTAGTCGTATAGAAGGTAGTGACCCGAGGAATGGGTGGAATTGTCCACGTCAGTCTAATGCTTAAAGATGAGAAGTTTGATAGATAATTTTTTCTGTAGCAAGGAAGTGGGGATCCATAGCGTTGCGGAGGAGTTTGGGAGGAAGGACTTCACCTTGTTCCGGCATTGGATCCCCTTTGGCGGCAGTGGACGAGTTTAAAACCAATGTTGGGTAATCAATACTATCTAGCGTCAGAGAGGAAAACGGGTGAAAGTTGTGTGCTAGCTCACTTGAGGAGGATGGAGGAGAAGGAAAATTGTTTTTTTTTCTGGAAATAAAATTATATATATATATATATATATATATATATATATATATTGTCTTCGAACGTTGGATGTATCCACGATGATTGACAGTGTTGTAGAGTATAAACTTCGTGCTCTCTCTTTGAAGGTCCTGGAGGAAGTTGTATTGTTGTATTCTGACTGACGGCCACAAACGAGCGTTGCACAGTATAAACTACCGTAACGTGCTCTTGTTTTTTTTTTTCAGCTCAAGTAATTGCTAGGGGTCAGGTCCTGGAGGAAGTATTGTTTGTGCTACATCCCTTGGAAGGAAAAATATGATATGTCACAATTGTCTTGGCTCGGGGAAGAACAGAATCGTAAAAAATATCGTAGCAGGGTTTTCGAAATTGGAACTGAGATACAGAGGCCTAGCTCAGTTGGTAAGGTATGCAAATGGCATTCAGGAGGTTTTGGGTTCAATCCCCATTGGGCTCATGTACCTTCCTGGGCATGCTTGGCGCCTGCCACCTAGAGATAGCCCGTTGGTCCCCCCATTTGGCATTAAAAAGCAGTCTCTGCTGATGTTCATAGGGGGAGGGAGGGGTAATCAGGCAGGGAGGCACAGCGAGTGCCCACTGAGACGATGCTCGGTCCCTCTGCTATCCGTCGTTGTCCCCTGGCCGGTGCCCCCCCCCCCATTGGGGGTTCCCTGAAGGCAATAAATAAAGGTCACCCTAGGCTGAAAAGGCCACCCCATATCAGATTAGACACAACATTGAATTTGGTTAGTTCGATGATAATACCTTAAGGCCATCCCCATTTAAAAAAAAAAAAAAAAAAAAAAAAGGAACTGAGGTGGTTGCTTTGGAAAGGAACTGTCATTGAGAAAGAATGAAAAATAAAAAACATAAAAAAAATTGCGACTGTAAGGTGGTACGATTGAGGGTATACTCACACGGGGACCTATAATCCTAAAATCCCAAAAAAAAGGGGAAAAGGTGGGTCACACGGATCTACCAAATTCGCAAATGTACTATTCCAGTGCCCATTTGTCAGCGGCCTGGGAAGCCGGGGGGCAAGGGATTTTGCGATCACCTCTGGAGGAGACCGCAAATTCCTGTTTTTTTTTTTTTTTTTTTGGAATGCATCCGAACTTTATATTGCAAAAATAATTGGGATGAGGCTGGGGACCTCACAATTCAACCCAGAGTGGTCCTGGCAGCTTTAGCCAGTTTAGCTTACGAGCTCAGCTCTATGCCTTCTGCAGTTCCAGATAAACCTTCTCTTCTGCAGCTCCAAATAAACCTTCTCTACTACTGCTGACAACTGGGTCCAGCGTCCCAGTAGGGTCTCTACTTTTTCAAGGGTCATCATCCCTGGCTGTAGACCCGGCTCAGGTGACACCGTACCACTGTTCCAGATAAGGAGGAAGGTTACAACGGTAGGGTCTCTACTTTTTCAAGGAGCTTTCCGAAAAACAAAGTTAAACCTTGAAGCTCTGTAAAAAAAAAAGGGGTAGACCCTCCTCTCCAAATCTCTAAGTTGAACGTCTTATGTCCGGGAGAGGCCTACTGTCCATACAATCTTAATTGTACAGGCTCAGAAACAGAGTTCCCTTCAACCTGAGTGATGTCTACAGCAACATTTCACTGTCGTGGTCTTGGCATCGGCCCCTGTTCAAGCTGAGGTCGGGTGCAGCCAGACCGAGAAAATCAAGGATCCTTCTGGAGCGATTGACACGAAGGCACAATTTTTTGCCCAAGTGTTTCTAAACCAAAAGATATTCCTCCCATTCTTACTTCTGGTTCCCCACCAGTCTACTTGAGTGGCCAGCGGAATATGTTCCGTTGCCACGTTAATTTGCTGGCGAGTGGTAAATACTTCGTTTTTGAAAACTCGCGCGTTCCTACATTTCCAAATACTTCTCGTAATTGCACCTCTACAAACGAGGGCAACGTAGCCCCAGCCTACCAACAGGTTGCTGTCTTTCTCCGCGGGGCCGTACAAAATCCAGTCGTCGGTTCACGCCCAATCTTTACTAACCATCTGTTCCCATTGCCCTTTCCACCCCCTCCAAACCTCACCCGAAAGAGGGCAGTGGACCCAGATGTGGGCTGAAGACTCCCATCCCCACTCACACCTTTTGCACTTTGTATCCAGTTCCATACCCTTGAGAGTCCAACCATACTGCTGATGCTGTTACCTGGAGAGATTGTAACCATAGTCTTCCTGCTTGTCTCTGCGACGGTAGTTTCTTCAAGGCTTGCCAGAGCTTCCTAAAGTTCGGACTTTGTGCCTTGGCCCCCGTAAGATGCTGAAAGCGCTCTGTCGCCAACTGAAGCGGTTGTTTCTTCGCCTTATGTCGTTGTACAAAGACCCCGACTTTGGTCTTGTAGTTTATTAGTGGAATATCAGCCGTGTCACTTGCTGCTTTTCATCCTATTAACAGAGGCTCTATTGTGAACTCTTCCACACTTTTGCCCAATAAAATGAGTGATGCTGGGCTATCCGAGGGTGACCCTGTCTTGCTGTTTTGCCATACTCTGGCCTCTCTTAGACCCACTGTGGTGTCCAGTATACTTTCCCCCGCTGGCTGGAGGTTGCCTGAGTCCGACCCCGTGGTCCTTAATTCCCAGATTTTCCAACTTCATACCTCCCCCCAACTCTGGTCCCACCACCCTGGCACCCTACCAACCTTGTCTCCACTTGGGGAGGTAAACAACCAGGTTCCACAAGCGTGCTCAGAGAACTCCTTTCGCAGAAGTTTCCAACTATGAGGAATTGCTGCTATTAAATCAGCATAGTTTTTTACAACATTTCTTAATTGTGGAAGACGTAGTTTCAGATTGGATGGTGAGAGCCAATCTGCTACCTCTGGGTCCCATATATCCTTTATCTACATCACTCCTTTTTCCATCCATTGCTTACCAAAGTTTCCTTTTTGCATTTCCTTCAAAAATTGCCGGAAGTTCGTTCATAAAAGTTCTTGCACAATTGGTGGATGGCGCCGTGTGACCATCCAAGTACCAAATCCCCATTTCTCGAGACGACTGTGACCTTGTCGCATCTGAAAAGGTAGTACAGCAGTGTGACGTGAACCATACCAAAACCTCAAATCGGCCCTTCCCAAATCCGCATATTTTGCGGCTTTGGGTTCGCCGTGTGAGTATGCCCTGAGTGTGTCTGTTTCCTATGCAGAAAGTGGCAGCTGTCTTTTCTTCGAACTCCTTTTTCTTTGTCCGTTAGTTACGTAGCCTTGAATGTCAGGGCTATGGCTGTGGCCATTGTTGGTACATGCGGCAGGTGTTGTTCCGCGAGAATCTCCATGTTGGTGGGTATTACGGCATGCCCCAGGATTGTGGGGAAATCTGCAAATCAGAGAACGCTGACGACGACCACTGCATGGAGCTTCTTCGGATGCACCGCAGGACTTTCGACCGACTGCTGGATTATCTGTGTCCATACCTGCAGCGGTGCGTGACCAGATTCCGTCAGCCATTGGATCATGGTCGAATTTTGGCTTATGCAGTGCACAGGTGGGCCCATGGGGACAATTATCGGCACAGCTGCTCTGCATTTGGAATGGGGAAGACCAGTGGGATAAGGGCCATATGGCATATGCGATGTCACATCTGCACTCATCCGCTGCTTTCCCCGTGTGATTTCGTTTGGAGGGTACGAGAAAAGGCAGAGAACAATGGATGCATATGCGCAGAGGGGTTTCCCCAATTGCTGGGCGTGCATTGACTGCACACACGTGTATATTGACAAGCCCAAGAAAGAGAACGGGGACGATTACTGCTTGGGGCAGACGAAGCGTTTCTCCATCCTCGCCCAGATAGTGTTCGATGAAGACCTTGCGGTTCTGGATCTCATGGTCGGCTGGCCCGGGACTGTGCATGACTCTCGCTTCCTGCGGAATTCGTTGTTGTTTAGATGGGCGGAGAGTAGGCAGCTGTTCCGGGATGATCCCAATGACCCATATCGCCATCTTCGGGTGGCTGTGCCAGGTGGGACACATGGTTATCTTTTGGGGGATGGTGGGTATCCCCTTCTTCCTTGGATTGTTATTCCTTATGGTAGACTCAGCGCACCGGGGCCCATGGCTGCTTTTGACGACCGCCACAAACTAGTCAGATGTGATGCTGATAGAGGGAATAGCCACTTAAAGCTTGGTTTTCAGATGTTCCACAGGCCTCATATATGTCACTTGGCAACAGTCTCAGATCAGTTGCACGTCATCTGCATTCTACATAACCTCTTGCTTGAGTGGGGCGATCGCGCACATGAGGATATGTTGCAGCAGTGGGCGGCTGGACAGCCACAGCCCCCTCCTCCACCGCCACCACCCCCTGCTACTGCACCAATGACATCTACTGCAAGGCAGATTTTCGCTCATGCACAGCACGATGCTCTTCGTGAACGTGTGATATCCGGGGTGTGGCAGGTCGCAGATTGACTGGGTGCATGGTGGTGCGAATGGTGATTGCATGAGGTCGAGAGAGAGAGGTCGAGCGAGAGGTCGAGAGGTCGAGAGGTGGAGAGAGAGAGAGAGAGAGAGAGAGAGAGAGAGAGAGAGAG